GATAGATTTCAATGTATTATTATGAAATCTACCATGAAAGAAATCAGTGCGATTGTGGAAGATCCTCGGGATCGTCCAGACTAATAATTAGTTAATTTGTTTATAAGGCCATAACTTGTAAACTATTCAACTTACCGTTTCCAGATTTCGTGTAAGTTATTAGACAGTGTTAAGGAATGAGAGGATGCGATGCCAGAACGTTCTGGTAATAATAACGCAGTTTATAAATGTTTAATTCAAAAGTCATAAATAAACTTCTTCTGTTTATAACTTTTGATCTAATCAATATTTTTTGACGCTCGAGGGCTAGTTTTGTAGGTCTTTTGAAGACGAAAAAAAAAGTACCTTACTGTTTTCTTTGTGGAAATGAACGGAAAAAAAGTTATAAGCGAAAAACGTGAATTTACGTAAAAATTATACAATTAACCACCCTGTAAAACAATTTTCCCCCATTTTTATGACTGTGGAAACTAATATTGTACTTAATATTTAGCATATATAGTGATAAATTCAGCTTGCCGAAACAAAAAGTCGTGTCCAACTCTATATTTCCTGAACTAAAATATCTCGAAATGGCTGTTAAGGTGGCTTAATTGTAGCGATTTTTGCTCCGACTTTTTTCGGTAGAGTTCCATAAATGCAATATTTTTGCTTTCTCCACTAGAAATCGCAACGGTCTCTTTGATGAAACTATCATTTCCAGATGCAGCTATTTGTGAGATAACTGTTTAATGTCACTGTTTAATACAAATCAGCAAGAGCATACTCACAAGTTCTTACAAATAGGTTTTATAGAGATAAAGAATTGTGACCTTGAGCAAGTCGACCATATCGAAAAGGAGTAGGTTTTTCTCGTTTAGCAGAAATTCTCTGCAAATTCTAGAATAGAAAACATTATAAAAACGTACATAAACACTGCCATGATCTAAAGAAGTAGATTGCAACTGTGTGCAAAATTCATTATCTACAACTATAGTTCTATGACTCTACTGAATTGTATTGTACCACGAGACATATGGGACTAAAATAGATATAAATTCTCACAAAAAAAATCATCTGTTAGAATGATTAAGGACTTTTTATAATTTCCAGGTTAAACATGTGATATCTCAAGCTTCCCAAGAGCATTACGTTTGCTTATGGCTAGGCTGTAAAGTTCATGGTAGGACTTCGTGCTCAAGATCATGGTTGGAGAGACACGTCCTCGCACATGCGGGCACCAAGCCCTTTCGTTGTATAGTGGATGGTTGCGGCCAAAGATTCAATTCACAGGTAAGAAAAATCCTCTATTCTGTCACGAAACAATCAATGTTTATTTTGTAACAGCTTATACAGGAATATCGTCTATTTTTTTTTGACGTGCTAATGCCGAGCCTACACACGGGGATCGAAGCGACAAAATGTCGCGCGACTGGAGCGACTTGCAAAATACCTCCATTGGCTACAATTAACTACGTATAAACTTTGTTTTAAAGCTGATAAAAGCTGAAATACAACAAAAAATGATTCAGTGCTTATTTTTTTTATCGCAGCTGATGTTGGAGCGACACGTCAACGGCCACTTCAACTCGGACGGCAGCCCAAACGGAAGCGCCAAGAAGTCGACCGAGAACGGCCCTTCGAAGCTGTTCAAAAGGAACGGGAAACGTATAAGGTTTAGGCGGCAGCCGTGGTCAGGTAAAGTGACAACTTTATTTTTTACGCACTTTCATTTGTTGTTCTCCGAGCGTAAGTATATATGAAGTATTGAGATACTATATATACAGGGTGATTTTACTAAGACATTCTCGATTTGATCTAATTCCTTTAGCACACTGTATATAAACTCATGCTCTCGTAATGATCATAAACCCAAATTCAAATATTAGTAAGGATATTTTCAATGCTTATATGAACATTATGGTTGGACAGGGTGTTATGACAGGTCGTCCTCCACGGACGGTCTGTTTTCGAAATTCTTTTCCCCCAAATGCAAATTTCACCCTTCTATATAAATTTTGCGTTCCACCACCGTATTAAATGGGTTTCTTTGGTGTTTCAGCGCGAATGTTTGACTTCATCGATTCTGGGATCATGGAAGGGCTTCAGCACAACCTCCTGATTCTCACCCAGAAGAGAACCCTAGGAAAAATAAGCGACGCGGGTGATACTGTCCATTTACAGAGCCAAATATTAGCGAAAAGAGTAGAAACCAATGGTAGTATAAAGTATCTCCTCAGGTGGCATCCGCAGAATGTGTAAGTACATCCGTTTTACACATAAATATTATCGTGCTGTCATTTTCACGTTTATTTGGTTCTCATTGTCCTCGTTATAAAAAAACTGCCTTGATCGACGTAAAAAAAAATTAAATTAAGGAAGCTGATATTGAATTAGATATTTGTTTTTTTGTCAAAGTACATTTAAAATTTCAAATAACTGCTCAAAAAATTGAAAAATTAAAGGCTAAAACCTTTCAGTTACAATTACAATTTTTTATACAAATTGTTACAAATTCTTTTAAAGTTCAAAATTACAACTATAAATTATAAAAATATATATCGCAAAATATAGTTCCAATTACTTTTATAAGTTACAATTTTTTTTATAAATTACAATTTTTTTATAAATTACAATTTTTTATATAAATTACTTTTAAATTGTAAAATATACATATTATTTTATATTACAGTTTAGAACAGATTACAATTGCAAATTTTTTATAAATTACAAAAATATATATATTTTATATTAATATAACAAAGTTTTTAGAGCGACTATTCCTATAAAAATGTAATATTTCGTAAAAATGAAAATAAATTTATTTATAAATCACAAAATGCAATTGCAAATTTTTTCTAAATTACAAATAACTATTTCAAAATACAGTGTCTATCTCTTTTGTTTTATATATTACAGTTGCATTATTTTTAAGTTATTAATTACAATTACAACGTTATACATTACAAAATGCAATTACAGATTCTTATTTAAATTACAAATTGGAATTACAGAATCCAATGACATTCACTTTTATTTTATAAATTACAACTACAAATTATAATTGCATTATTTTTGTGTTACTATTATAATTACAAAGTTTTTATACATTACAAAATGCAATTACAGATTTTTGAAATTACAAATTGTAACTTCAGAATATAATTACAATTTTTTATACAAATTAAAAAATTGTTCCAAATTTATAAGTTACAAATTACAGATGCATTTTTTTATAAGTTATAAAATTACATAAATTTTTGTTACTTATTACAATAACAAAGTTTTTATAATGACTATTCCTATAAAAATTAATAATTTGTCAAAATAAAAACTAGTTTATTTATAAGTTACAAAATGTAATTGCAATTTTTTTTCTAGAGTACAAATAGCAATTACAAATCACAGTGCCTATCTTTTGTTTCACAATTTAAAATTATACTCATAAAATATTAGAAATATGTAGAATTAATTTTTTTGACTGACAACTTAGAATTAATTTTTTTTTATAAAGTACGAATTATAGTTGCATTGTTTTTAAATTATAAATTATATTAACAAAGTTTTTATAGTGATCATTCCTATAAAAATGTAATAATTTGTTGAAATGAAAATAAATTTATAAATTACAAAATGCAATTGAAAATTTTTTTCTAAATTACAAATTGCTATTACAGAATCCAATGACATTCACTTTTATTTTTAACTTACAAATCCTTTTAAAATAATTTTTGTAATTACAAATTGCAGTTTCATTTATTATTTATAAATTTCAAATTAAATTACATTTTTATACAATATTATAAATTACTTTGTAAATTTACAAATTATACGTATAATTACCAAGTTTTTATTTATATATTATAAAATACAATTAGAATTTGTTTTATAAGTTACAAATTATTTGGTAAACTACAATTAGTTATAAATTTCAAATTAAAAGTTTTGTGAGTAATAGAACGTGTGATAAAGCATTTACATAATCAATTTTCATTCATTCTTGTCTCATGTAGCCATTTCTTTTTGCATACTGCTTTATCTGTGTTAATATATTAATCGGAATGAAACTTAAACGTTTGCCGAAGTTTGGCGAAACTCTAATATTTCCTTCTGTAGTGTTCCAGATGAGTGGGTCACTGAAAAAGAGTACATACCCACGAAGGTTGTATCGATACCGAGTCTGCAACCGTCAGCCAAAACAGCTCTGAAGCCTTCGTTATTCCCGGAGAAGAACGAGGAGCCACCGAGGCAGAAGCAGAGGCGCAAGCCCCTCTCAAAGCATACGTGATAAAAAATTGTTGTTTAAAAATAATGTTTATAATATTTTTGAGCCTTTGTATAAAAAGAAAAATGAAAAAACACCAGGAACACTTTTGTCGGGTGTGTGATTAAATGGTCAAATTGTACCGAAGTATTTTACCATATAAAAACAATGGATTTTACCCTTTCATCGGTAGGACTACGATGTAATTTTTTTGTATGTACAGGCACGTTGATGTTTATAAGAGTAGAAGCAGTAAAGATACGGCAAATTAAATCTAATCTAATTTCAGATTTAACGTCGGGTCTAAGGGTGTGATGGAAAATAAAGTTTTTCGTATGGACGATTTTCCAAAAATGTTTCCTCTTCGAGATACAAAGTAATCAAGTTTAGAAAAAAGTCAGTTTTTTTCAAGTAACTGAAATAAATTTGCAATTAAATTGTTTTTTTTTTATTTAAAAGAAATATTCACACTAATTAGTTCCATATGTTCCTAGATCGTTATTTTTTATTTTAACACTTTTGGGCGATGTTTTTAGGGGATATACAAAAAGTAGTTCAAATGTCCCAAACCTGATTTATAAGTGAGATGGTGAAATTTCGCATCTGGACGTTTTGATTTATTTAAAAGATACAGGCTGTTTTTTTACGGATGTGACCTTCAAAAAGTTGAAACAAGAAATTAGTTTCAAGGAAATGACGAAAGTAGTTCAAATTGTCCGAACTGATTTTTTGGGAAATGTCGAACGTTGAAATTCCCATCCGGATATCTTGATTCATTTTTGAGATACAGGGTGTTTTCTAACCCAATTACAATTTTTTTTAGATTTGGAAGAAAAATATGTCGATGGATAATTGAATCTCTACAATTCAAAGTTTTCATAAATAGAAAAATTGTTCGAGTCAGATATATCAATCAATCAGAGAATAAAAACGCCTTGTAAAAGGTTAAACGAGTTCGAGACATTTGAACTACTTTTTGTATATCTCGTTAAAAAATATAAGAAACTACGTAAAAATGTGGAAATTGATCCTCCTTACACTTTAAAGCAAATTTCATAAAAATTAGACTTATTTTTACTTGATCCAAGGCTTGATCCACTTTTTTTTTTATTAAATTGATATATATGCCGTTTCTTATTTGAAGTGGTAGGTTGCATTTTTAGAGACCATTCATGTTAAAAATTATTTATTTTCAGAATTACTGCCGCACATTCCGACGTTAAATACAATTTTATCGAAAATTATTTATTCGTTCAAAATTTTCATTTCTTCAAAATGTTTGTGCGTATTGTGAACAATCATGAAACGATGTTGAAGGTGTTGTAAATAGAGAAATAGCCGTCGTTGTTTTTATATGGTAGCCAAACAAATAAAATGGATCTCGCAGCAAAGGTTCACTTTCCTAAAAAAGTTGTACAGTAGGGGAACACGGATATATAATTTGTGGAGTCTTTCACTTTGTACAGTAGGTTATGTGTATAGTAGCGTATCGTAAGGGAAAAATGGAACGGACGCCGTTCGTGGATGTTTAATCCGATGGTTTTGACCATTTAACAACCAGCCTAAAATCACTGCCATGAAAAAAAATCTGGTTGGATAGTTGTTGAAACCTTCTACCTAGAATAGAGAATATGTAATTGCATGTAACATTTTTTTTTTAGTTTTAATTATTTCTTGTGTGTTCGCAATATTTATGCTAAATAATTTTTAATTTGTTAGGATGAGATCGTGCTTTTAAAGTAATTGTTTTTTTTTTAGTTAGACAATTTTTGTTACATTCCTTTTTATTTGTTTCTATTTATTTTTAACTTTTTAACATTTACGGATTTTGTTCAAACACACACTTAATACGTTTTTGGATTCTCTTGAATCTTGAAAATTTACACTGCCATTTTATACTGCCGGCGAATTAGTGAGTCAGACTAGCAAATTTACCATGACGTTTTCATATGTATAAGTCAGCCGCGGACCGCCGGTTGCGGATCTCGGAGCAACGTTGCGAACAAATGAAACTGTCACGACTAACCGGAATCTAATAATTAAAGTTTCTCCCTCCGAGTTCCGCACCCAGCGCCAGCTGACGCCTTCACAGTGTGCCATTTTTACCATATATATGTATCGACTCTGTCCGCTTCTGTTTAGATAATTGTGTAATTTGGATTGTGTAACCGCGTAGATTATTTTAATTTTTAAGTCTAACACAAACTGAGATAATTTGTCAAAATGTGTTCCATAATCTTAGGACAATTATTACTACTTGTACTCTACACGGCGAGGGTGTTTTCAGTCTTCAATTGATCTCAATTAGTTGTTCGGGTTAAAATCTTTCCTCTACGACACGATTCGGGTCGCCGGAACGGTCATCGTTTACACAAAAATTGAAATTAACAGAGTGACGTAACCTCAAATCGTTTTCGATGGCGTGATTTTTTAAATTTGGTAACAAACTGCATCTGTGCAATACTGGAGTAACAAATCGTTTCAAAAAATAAACTTATTTGATGACAGTCTGTTCCCAAATGCCCCTTTTTAATCCTAAATTACCCCATATTATCCTCAAATTACCCCCCAATTACTCTCAATTTTTAAATATCAAGTCAGTGTAATTAAAATGATTTGACTGATTTTAATGTTTCCAATTGTAAAACAATTATGTTCAAATTTTGGCCTGAATTGTTGATATTGGAAAACGGTACATTTGACCTACTTTTAAAAATCGCTCTCAAATAAGTGCATTTTTTTCTAGAAACCGAACATGATATCCGCTAGAACAAGAGCGCCAATTTTTTTAATGATCTTCAATATAATTTTGTTTGGTTTTTAGAGAAATAATAAATAATCAAGTTAAAACCCTTTGGTGCTTTGGAAACTTGTTTATTTCTTTCATTAAGTGCAGTTTATTACCGATAACAAATGTGCTGCATTAGAAATATTTGCTTTTGTCTAAAAATACGAAATGCCTTTGTCGATCCGAACCGCGGACTATTCCGACGACCCGTTGAGTTCTGGAAAGATTTTCGTCTAGAAATTGTACTTAAACGGTTCATTTATCAACTCCTATCGGTCGTAGAAATTCGTTTTATATGCTGTTGCTCATACCTTTCACTTTTTAAAATAGACTGAATTTACGATACAAATTATTTATTTAGACTGATTTATTTTAAATGCAATGATACAAACGATTCGAACCTTTGGTGTCCCCGACCCATACACACACACACACACATTCACACACGGGACCGATGTCTGGTTGCTATCTTTTCGGAAACGTGGAGCAATTTGTAAATAGTACAATATTTATATACATTCGTTTGAGACGCGAGCAGTTAGTACTTACCTTTTAAGTTTTAACCGTAGCAACCACACATTTAGGCGGCGGACCTGTAAATAAACCCCTGAGAATCATGGAGGTTTTTTCAGATCATGTAATATAGTTAATTATTAATTTTAACATAGTTTGTATCTACCATATATCTCTAATTCAGATAAAAATAACTTTTGTAAACTATTCTTTTACATTGCATTTAGAAACATCTCTAAGGATTTAAGACTGTTCGGAAAATTATATCATAACACGTAGTAGGGAATTTTATACTAGTTGCGTTTACTTTAAGAAAATTTTTGAGAAGCTTCGATATTCACTGTGTTCATTTTTTATGTAATTTTATTATTAATTATTTATCATAGTTTATTATGTACTTTGTAACACGCCGGAACGGAGGGCTATCGACGTCCGTTCTTCCAGACGCCGCACCGATTTTTCACGGTTCCACGCTCCGAACTGTTCTAAACGTCTTGAAAATCGTAATCGTGCAAAATGTTGCTGTTACATCCAAATTCAATTCAAAAATCGATATTTCGAAATTTTACACATGTATACAGGGTGTTTGAAACACTGAAAAGAAAAAATAATTCCAGAACAAATTTTGTACGTGCGATTTTTTTAAAAATTGTATTAGCGATTTGCTGATTTAAAATTAGGTTTATTTATTTTTCTTTTATTGCAGATTAAGTTGCAAAAAGTGTAATTTTTTTACGAATCGCTCTTTTTTCTGACAGAAAAACTTTTATGAGTTAAAATGTTTTACGACTACACTTTGTTGTCACTTTTTTCATGTCGGTAAATTGTGATTATTTTCAAATTTTAATAAATAATTTGGAGTAATTGAAATGATTTCACTGATTTTAATGCCTACATCTGTTGACATTTGAGAAATAGTACATTTGAACTACTTTTAAAAGTTACTCCTGAAGCATTAAATTTTCTGGACAGTTAATATTATCATTGGATAACAAGTACAATGTAATATTTTTGAAAAATTTTTTAATCTTTAATATTACATTACTTAATTTTAGGAAAAATTGTGAATAAAAGAGTAATGATCAATTCTATAGCCAATGCAAGTCATTTAAATCCTTCACTGTTTTAGAATTTTCATAATTGCCTATTCTGCAGAATGGTACATTTGAACTACTTTTAAGGGTTGCCTCTAAAATTAATTTTTTCAAGGAATCTGTTAATGTTATTCATTCATAAAAAAATAAATACAGATTGTATACTTCAATGAAAAAAGTTTTGAAAAATATTGTTATTTCGTACAAGTTTAACATTAATCGTTGCCACCAAAATTATTTAATGTTTTATAACTTGACTTTACATCACATTTTTCATGTTGATAAATTGTGATTATTATTTTTAAATTTCAAAATTTAAATAAACAATTGGGTGTAATTGAAATGATGCAACTGATTTTAATGCCTACAACTATGTACATATAATTTGAGAAAAGGTATATTTGAACTACTTTGAAAATACTCCCAAAACATCAAATTTTCTCAGTTAAAATTGTCCAGTTAGGACAAGATAAAATTGTTGTAAAATTTTTTTGAAGATCCTTAATATTGCGCTGTTTAACTTTTTGAAAAATTGTAAAATAAAAGAGTAATGATTGATTTTATGGCCAATACAAGTCATTTAATCTCTTCACTGTTTCAGAATTTTGAAACTTGCCTATACTACAAAATGGTACATTTGAACTACTTTTAAAAGTTACTCCTGAAGCATTAAATTTTCTAGACAGTTAATATTATCATTGGATAACAAGTACAATGTAATATTTTTGTAAGATTTTTTAATCTTTAATATTACATTACTTAATTTTAGGAAAAACTGTGAATAAAAGAGTAATGATCAATTCTATAGCCAATGCGTCATTTAAATCCTTCACTGTTTTAAAATTTTCATGATTGCCTATTCTGCAGAATGGTACATTTGAACTACTTTTAAGGATTGCCTCTAAAATTAATTTTTTCAAGGAATCTGTCAATGTTATTCATTTATAAAAAAATAAATACAGATTTTATACTTCAATGAAAAAAGTTTTGAAAAATATTGTTATTTCGTACAAGTTTAACATTAATCGTTTCCAACAAAATTATTTAATATTTTATAACTGCATCACATTTTTCATGTTGATAAATTGTGATTATTATTTTTGAATTTCAAAAT